ATGTTAGACCATTGGGGTAGCCCATGGTATTTCAAAGAAAGACCATGGAGATAGTCAATGACACTTGGTTGTAAGACCTTGGAGGTAGCCCATGACATTCCAAGAAAAGACCATGGGGGTAACCTATGACAATTGTATGTATGGTATGTGGTATTTTAGAGAACTTACAAAAATTTGTGCTTACAATTTTGTGGTTTAAACGTTTTCAGGTACTTTCAGATTCAAAAGGAAGAGTCTGACTTGATTGCATTGCATCCCCAATAGATTTATTTTGCTATGATTGTTTATGATTTTACTCTAATGTTTTGAGAATATTTTTACTCTGATCATATTTTCGAATAATTAATGAATTCCTTTAACTTATTAAAATGAAAATTTTAATTGATATTTTTGGATCGTTACACGTTCATTTTAGCCATTAACACAATAATATTTGATAAAATGTATATTAATTCATAATTTTAAATAGAATCGATTAATGTTCTAATTCCAAATACTAAATCTTTACAAATTTAGTTAATCTTTTCTAGAATGCTTCTTTCAAAAAAAATATGATTATCAATATCTACCTTGTTTAGAAATGATTCTAGAATCTGATGTTGTTGTTCCTTTTAAAAGGATGCTCTTTTAAAGCTTTCAAGGCATTACAATACAAATTCATAATAAAAGATGTGGCTCGAACTAAAGTACTAGTCTTGTCGGTGTTGAAATCCTAGGATGGTAATTGTCTAATTGGAACCCCTTCTTTCCACGTAAATTAGGTATCACAATATAATTTGCAAGAAGACAAACCGAAAACATATTGGGCGGTTAAATTTTTTTTGTATGATAAATTAATATTTTTTAAATACTATATTTATAAATCTAGGGGATATAACATTATTATATATGATCTGTTGTATTTTATTAAGAAGTTTCATCGCATCCAGTGCGAGGAAACCAAATGTATCAAACACAAATAATATGAACACATGTTGATTTTTTATGCATGATTTATCATGTTTTGTGACTTTGCATGTGACAGTTTTTAAAGAAGTATGTCTCGTCTTGAAACCCCCAGTCCTCAAGCCCACGAGAGGGGACACCCATTTAAGGTCCACACAAACGTGTTTTCCTCCAACTCATCCAAAAATCAAAACATCAATTAGTCTAACGGTTGACTTTCCTTCTGTCAAACCAATCAAGAAATTTACATGTCTCTTTCTTTATAGAAACCCTGACATTTTTAAATATATCAAACAAAACATCTATAAGCGTGTTAAAAATCAAGATTCTACGAGAGTCTTATGAGAATCTTTTTATTTTTGCAGTTTATTTTTTTTCAGTTATATATAAACAAAAGATTTTGTATTACAAAGCAAATTAAATATCATAGTTGACGTATCTCTTGTCCTACATCCACTTTCCAAACAATCAAGATCTTTTATCAACTAAAATACTTTATTATGGTAGAATATAAACTGTATACCAAAACAGCCCACACCCAAGATCCACATACTTTGCTATCTTCTCACATACTTTGCTATCTTCTCACGAATTTATGTAAAAGCAGTTACAACAATAGAATGACTTATTAACACTAAAGTATTGTTGTACACTCAAATAATTACCGAGTGTTAGACAACCAAATAAATTCTATAAAAAACAAGTAGCAAAAACCTCCCAATATATAAATAATATCACTATGATTTTGGGTTTTCATGATTCACTTTGGTGGTTGACAACTGATTGTTATATATATATATATATATATATATATATATATATATATATATATATATATATATATATATATATATATATATATATATATATATATATATATATATATATATATATATATATATATAAAAGAGTTGTTATTTGTCAACCACCAAACACCTTATTAATGTGGGTTAATCATGAAAAAACAAAGTTATAATAATATTATTGATGATATTACCGTTTAGGTTAAAAAATACAGTTTTATGTACCAATAAATTTTGTTCTTTTTACAACATAAAAAAAAAAGTTTAAAAAATATAAACAAAAATAAAAATTTGTACCCTATTAATTATTATCCCAAAAAAATGCAAACCAAATATACAGTACTGTATAAAAGTTGATTACCTCAAACGGATTGGTTGCAAAAAAAATTTCCACTTTCCATGAAAATGGTCAAATGAAAATAAATAATTTAAAAACACGATTCAGATTTCAAAAAAAATTCCAAAAAAATGATAATTTTTTGTTTTCCAAATTATATGTAAATTGGAAAAATGATCTTTACAATTTTAAAAGTTTCTAAGTTTTTAAAATTAAAAATAAAAACTTCACCGGTTTCAACCAAACACATTTTTTAAAATTTTTATTGAAAACCAAAAATGAAAATGAGAACTCTATTTTTCAAAAAATATTTTCTTAAAAATGAAAACATTTTTTCACAAACAAACAAACGCACCATAGGAGAGAATTTCTCATAAAATCATGTGCTCTCCTTTTGTTTTCTATAAAATTTCTTGTATTTGACTCTTAATTAAAGTAATTTACTGTTATTCAGTCAAATTAAATCTGAATTTAACTTCAAAATACTTTTGATTTCTATAATAATAAACGACTCGATAAGTTACGTTGAAAATACGGAAATACTAACTACTACAAGCGGCAAAAGGTGCATGTGCTGTCCCACACGCTATTCTTAGACACAAGTTGACAAAATATTTTGTCAACACGGAATAATATTATAAAACCAATGTCAACACCTCATTAGTCATTAGGCAAAACTAGATGATTACATTACTTACCAAAAATTAGGTCAGATGTTGAAAGACTACTACAATACCATTTTACATTACATGTGTTTGTATCTAAAGGATATAAAAAGAAAAACTATATAAATTCCTCTTCTATACGGAATTTAATCGTTGAAACTTGAATGCTCCGGTCTAAGGAAACATAGTCTGTCCTAAAAATCTTCTTGAATAGGAAATTAGCGTTAAGAGTGCAAATATTGGTCTTCAATCAAAGAACACAACCTTTAGCAAAACTAAATTTATGTCGTAATAGTTGGTAAATCTAAGCAAAAAGCTTCTAAAAATATACTTATTCTTATGTAGATCATTCTAAGAAAAACTTGGGAGTGGAAAAATCTCTTGTTATCCAAAAAATAAATTCTAAAAAACAGAAAATTTTGATTTTCTTTTTAAATTCAAATTTTGTAAATTAAAAAAACAATAATTATTGTTTCTCATAAACAACTTTGAGTTTATATATGAAAAAATCGCAAGTTTTTTCTAAAAATTGCTGAAAAAAAAAATCAATTTTTTTTGGTTTTTTTTCAAAAAAAATTTCAACGAATTTGAAGAAAAAAGTTGCAATTTTTTCATTTATAAAGTCAAAAAAAAAAAGTATTGTAATCTCTAGATATTTTTTATACATTTTTATGATTTTTAGGGTTTTTGTTTTCCATAGAATATATATATATATATATATATATATATATATATATATATATATATATATATATATATATATATAGGGTTAGAAGTGAATCGAATCGACAATGATCCAAACCCATACCATTTAATAATAGGGTAAATGGGTACGGATTATAAACAGATAAACGAATTGAAAATCAAAACCAAACTCATAAAATGCTTCCGGTTTTAGAGCGAATCATTGTTAAAACATGTTCCAATGACAGGTTTAGATAGGAGTGTGGGTGTGAAAATGACATGTGGTGGCAATGGGGGTAAGGCATTTATGTGGGGTACAAGGAAGCTAGCCTACTTGGCTAAGTTCAATTTAGATATCTAACCATAAAATATCCCAATCCTTAAATTCAATTTCAGATATATACTAATACTTCAGTTGTAAAAATAAAAAATAATAAATAAAACTATATGGGGTAAGGATTGGGATGGTGTGGCAATGTGGATGTATGTAGTGTTCATATTCAAGATACAAATAAAAATAAATATGAAAAAACCGATAAATATATTCAAATTAATTTTTTTTGGAAACGATTCAAATTAAATAAAATTGTAAACTTCTTGTTTACTAAAAAAGTTCAATGATCCAAACATATTGTCTAAGCTTTATTTAAAATTTTTGCACATTCTAAGGCACCTTTGACATTATAACTTTTTTTTTTTTTTGGAGGACACCTAATTTTTTGTTTTACAATATAAACTAATAACCTAAATTTTTGTTTTTGTTTTTTACCTTGTTTAAATTTTATAGAAATACAATATTATGTTTTTCATCTGAAAAAATTATCAAAATAATGTCTTTTATTCAAGTAAACATACACAGTTATTTGCTTAAAAATAGAGAATTGTATATATATATTCTTACTAAACATCAAAATATCATATTTATTAAACTTAATTTTGAAATATCATATTTATCCTTCATAAAACTTTAAAATATCTTATATATCCTTTTTGAATATCAAAATATCATATATTTCATTTTTAAAAATCAAAACATCAACTTCTTAAGCCGTAATATCAAAAACATCATCTATCTATAATATAATATAATAATATTAAACAACAAAAATTAAAAAATCAATGCATATATTCTATGAAAAAGGTTAAATCAAACTTTCAATTATTATAGACGTAACGATAATAGTAAAAAAAAATTAATTATTATAACAATTCTAAGATATCAAAAATATTATAAACTATTAAAAACATTGTAAAAGAAAATTAAGCAAATACGATATTGTAAATATTCATAAAGTAAATATTTATAAAAGGTAAATGTGATATTAATAAATAAAAATAACAAATATAATATTTTAATGTTTAAAACAACATTCTGATCACCTTTTAAATTAAAACCTTTTTTATAGGATAGAAACCAGATCAAAAAAAAAAAGGTTAAATCAAACTTTCAGTTTGAAATATTAAAACGAAAATTATGTCCAGTTTTTTCTTCTTAAAAATAACCCTAGTGAGATCAAACCACACCCCAATAACAAAAATTATTATCTTTTCCATAAATATAAACGTCTAACTTCACATATTACAATGCACTTAGCAAGTGTATTGACCACTAAATGCACCTAATATGTATGTGCTCTCAAAGCATGTCATGAGAATATGCTTTTTATGTTATGTGAGTATGGGGTAGGTAGGGGATGGGGGTGGGGTGGGGGATAGGGTAAGGTGGGTCCCAAACCCCAGCCAACCAATTTAGAAGTGGCCAGAAGGGGTGGTTGTGGTCTCTCTATACAACAAAAGTCAATAATGAACACTTAAGATAAACAACACCAACCCTTTTTCCCACTTGTACTATACTAATATATATTATATTCATATTCATATATTTATATATATTCCCAAAAAAGCTCAGCAACGCCCATGCGCCCAATGTCTGTTATGGTTGTTACCAGGCCTCATCTGTTGGTTTTTCCGGTCAACCTGAACCTCCTGCTTTGGTAGATCATGCAGTTCCATCACTTGTATCGTTCGTTGTCTCTTCGCTATTTAAAAAAAAAAGTAATATTTTCAATATCATAATTGCGTATTCGAAACCGACTTTAAACATCACAAGTCATTAATACAAACCGTTTTCCGCTTGTTGATAACGTTCTTGTAGTTTCCTTTTTGTCTCTTCAAGCTTGTCTTGCACGCTTTCCCCATCCGCACGCCACGGTTTCTTCACAAATATACACAAAAATATGTCAGTTGATGCAAATCAGGTATACAACAGTCTGCTACGTGGTACCCATAAGGAGCCCAATCCATATTGAAACTGAAACTCTCACACTGCGACTGTTGTGCTAGGTAAAGCAAATTTTGGCGTATAAAGATAGTAATATAATTGAGTAACTTACGCGTTGTTGATGTGCGATTGGTCTCTTTTGAAGAGTAGGTTTTTCAGGGTTTTGCAACTTGCGGTCATTTGGTTTAATTCGTGGTGCCAAGTTGGCAATGGGAGGTCTAGTTGGTTTGAAACCGGTTGGTTGCTTTATAACATTAGAGTCACGATCCTCCTTTCGGGCCATGGTGGGCCCGTTTAATGGTTTTTGTTCTTTCAACTTGGTTGCGTTTTGCTTCTCGACTGGTGGCTTTCTGTTGTGATCACGGTTCTTGTTGGATTCCGTGCTTATCCTAGGATCTGAAACAATATCCAAAATTGGAATTTAATAACAACCCGAATAGAAAAAGATATGATAATAATAATAAATGATATAAATTCAACTCACTTCCGTAATCATCCATGCCATCAAAGAACTTCTGAGATCCACGGTTAGCAATATACAAAAGGAAACACAACCCGTCAGATAAAAGTCACTTTTTTACAGCATGACATGACAAGACATGACAGGACAGCACGTTTGGATGTCAATTGGACAAAAACTGCAACATTTTGTTCGACGCAAAAAGATGGAACATATGGGATGTGCAAAAGACGTAAATGCCCCTCATCCTCTTTGATGAAGGAAAAATGAGATTTGCATACCTCAGATAGCTCCAATGACATTGCGTGAGGGTTCAAAAATGCTAAATCGTCTAAAGGAGGTGACGGAAGGCCTTCCTCTTCATCAAGAACAGATGGATTCATCGACTCGGGGGTAGCTTCAGAAACTGCAAGTTCAATTTCTTTAAAAAATGGAAAAATTTTAAGACAAATAATATAATATTTTTCACTAAAAATTGACGAATTACCAGTCACTTTAGTCGTAGCATTCACCCATTCGTCTACCATGTGCTTCCACACCCTGAATACACAACAATATCAGCAATATCAGCTCAGGGGTTACTGGAAGAATAACCTTTTTGCAAAAGCGAAAGCGACAAAAGTAAAATTAATATATCCATGGTTGTGTGCAAGTTTTTAGGAGCTAAAAGTTAGCTACCACACGAGCATAGAAAGATTTCCATTTATTAAAATCAAGATACGCGTAATTTGCCATAATTGAACTTGCGGAGTTATTTCATTCCAAATTAATGTGATCAAAACAATTATACGATCTCTTTCTATAGTACAACACAACCTAACTAACATGTAGCTCGCACGAGTTCATGATATGTCTAATTGATTATGAAAGATGCGTAAATTTTTGAAACCCAAGTGTAAGAGTTAGTTTCTTTTTTATTAAGTCTACTAACTTATGCATTGTTAAATGCATATCAAGTCAATAGGAAAAATTTTCTTACTCAATTAGCACTCTTGCAATTTGGCGAACATCCTTTGATGCATGCTTTCGAAGAACATTAACGGATTTTCCAATCTCAGTTGCCTGAAATATAAAAGAAACATAAGAGGAGGATAATTCAAGGGTTGAATTGGTGGATAATTCTGTAAAAGATTTTATATTCAAACCTTGAGTGTTTCTACTGATAAATTCATCAATTGAAGCTTCCTTAACGAATTGCATATGTCGAATGTAGACTGAGAAGCACAAGAAATAAGATCAAACATTCTTCAACCAGAATTAAATCAGAAACAATCAGTTAGTCATTAAATTATTCAAACTAACAAGTAATTGAACTGAATTCCATTTAATTAGTGAAGTAATAAAGAAAAAAAAAAAACCTCATCTGGGCTGTTGTCAACAATCTCTTTAATCCTCATAACCTCATCAAACATCCGGGATTCTTCTTCAATTTCATCGGTAAGAGCTTCTGCATCTCCATAGCTGTAATTGCTAACATGGTGGTTCATTTCATTAACCTCTACATCACGATGATGATGATGATCATCATCATCGTCATCATCTTCTCCTTCTTCTTCTTCATCATTATCATCATCGTTTCTAGAACTATTTATCACCTTGCTGCTCTCTTTACTCCAGTTCCCATCAACATCTGTTAATTTACTATTATACTTAACCCCTTCATCTCCATCATCATCACCAGCATCATCGTCATCGTCATCGTCATCGTCATCATCATCATCATCAGCATTATCATCTACAGGCAAGGCTAATTCCTCTTTATCACAACCAGAGCATTTGATTAATCTACAGGAGAACAAGGTCTGAGCAATCGAATCTCTCCTAATCCTAAACTCTTTTGGATAATCAGAAGCAGCCATCATGATCGCTCCTTCAATGATATCGAATATATTCGCATTAGCGCTACCAAAATACTCCCTCCAGTAATCCATCCGTGCAGCAGATTTTGGGACCGACATAGCAACAAACGTCCCCACCAAACTCAGAACGAAACCCACCCAGATCAGATAACTATACAATTTTATAGATTAAAACCCAGAAACCAAAAATCGACTAACCGATCTCGTTGACACCCATAAACACAAAACCTTAATTTATCAGCAAATTTGGGAGAATTTGTGCAAATAAAGAAAGAAATCAACAAAACCTTGCAAGATATGTGCACGATGGAAAGATCTCTACAGTTAGATTAACAAAAGAAAACAAAAACTGAATAGAATAACTCTTAATATGTCAAATTGGGTGCTAATATCTGTCGTTCTTGTTGGGAAAATAGAACTTTATGAGGAACCCAAATAGGGTTTAAAAAATAATCAATGAAAGATGGGTTATAGAATCCGAAATCGACGATCAAAATCGAAATAGTTTCGATTAAGAATATTAACATAGATATTCTGGTTCTAGAGGAGGGAATTCTTTGATTCACCGAGCTCAAGTGGAGGGAATATGAAGCAGGTGTACGCAACGCAGTGTGTGAAAAGGAGAATCCCCTCTCAGATTTCACTTTTCACCACTTAAAGACTTCACCTTTTTTGCTTCGTGTCTATCTCAGACTATTCGGCAGAGTCGACAAACTACAAAACCCACGGTTTTTATATTTCTTTTATTTCTATTTGACCGTCAATAAATAATATTATATTTAGTATTATTATGTAGTTACTTTATCGGATGGTATATATATATATATATATATATATATATATATATATATATATATATATATATATATATATATATATATATATATATATATATGGAAAAATGAATATACCCTTAAGGGTATATAAACTTAGGTACTCAAACTCATAATAATACATCGTTTTGTTTGATATATTCATTATAATATTGTTAAACTTTAATCCTTAACTTGATTTATATTCAATATTTTTAAATTTTCACTATTATCTTCCTCTTACATCACATCTTTTTGTCGAACACTTACTAGGTTATATATTATTGTTGAAAATAACAATTATGTAAGAGGAAGATAAATATGAAATTTATAAAAATCTTTGAAGTAATTCAAGTTAAAAGTTGAATTATAAGAACATTGGACAATTACAATATTTATATATGATACACAACGATGTAGTATTGTAAGTTTGGGTACCTAAACTTATATACCCTTAAGGGTATATTCACTTTTCCCATATATATATATATATATATATATATATATATATATATATATATATATATATATATAAAGGTTGAAATGTTTTTCATATCTATTATGTGCTGGAATGCACCAATAGAAATTTAATATTAATTATATGTATATTAAATATTATCCATACTTATAACTTATGGAAATGAATTAAATTCGTCATTAATATCAACAATAATATTCTTTTACAATAAATTCATATCTAGAAAAATAAAAGTGTATTTCAGCATAATGAGAGTGTATTTTAGTAGAATACACTCTTGTTCTTCATATTTTATAAAACTTTATTGTATTTTAAGTGAGTGAACCCTGAAATAAAATATGAACTCATATAAAAAAACCTATATATGAATTCATTCTGCAGGAATGTTATTGATGACATTAATGACAGATTTAATTAGTTTCCATAAAAAGAGAATTATAATTATAGATATCATTTAATATCTATATTTATTTAATTTACTAAATTTCTATTGATGCAATCTAGCACACAATAAATGTAAAAAACAAAATAACATAACCCTATATATATATATATATATATATATATATATATATATATATATATATATATATATATATATATATATATATATATAGGGAAAAGTGAATATACCCTTAAGAGTATATAAGCTTAGGTACTCAAATTCACCATATTACGTTGTTTTGTATCACATATACCCATTTTAATTGTCTAATGTTCTTCTAATTCAACTTCTAACTTGATTTAATTACAAATTTTTTTATAAATTTTATGTTTATCATCCTCTTATATAATTTTCATTTTTAACTATAATATATAGCATAGTAGATGTTCGAGATAAAGACGTGATGTAAGAGGAAGATAATAGTGAAATTTTAAAAATCTTGAAAGTATATCAAGTTAGGGGTAAAATTTAAGAATACTATAATGAATATATCAAACAAAGCGACGTATTATGGTATGTTTGGGTACCTAAGCTTATATACCCTTAAGGTTATATTCACTTTTCCCATATATATATATATATATATATATATATATACGGTCTAAAAGCCGATCCATTTCGGTCCAAATACTTGACCCTAAGTTGTAATGGATAAACTAACTTTGGGTAGGGCTCAACGACTTGTATCATATGCACCTAAAATTGCATCGGTTCAACGGGTATAAGAACCAAAAAACTCGAACCTGGACTGGTCTCAATAGGTCCGGTCCAAGGTCCACAAATTTCTTCCAAACCGGTTCAATCTAAGACCCGGTCCGATCCAGTTAAATTTAAATGTTCCCCACTACTTTATACCAAAAGAATGATTTCGGATACTATTATATTATTTTAACCCATGGTCGGTCCAAACATATATGAACCCGGGGCAAAAAGAAAAAAAAGTCCCTCAAAGACAAATATAATAAAGATTAATATATATATATATATATATATATATATATATATATATATATATATATATATATATATATATATATATATATATATCATTTAACTTTTCATTATAAACTCTTCAATTAGCACTAATATGCAAACTAAGTTGTTTATCTTTTTAGCTAATTTGAGTTTCAACCAATTTTAGGCCATAAAAATCATTTAGGTAATAATTTTTTTATATATATAAACTACATAGCCCATAAATTTTGGACCCCTGGAGTCATGGGCCTTGAGCGGTCGCCCATATTGTTCACCGTCTGGATCGATCCTATTTTAACCTATTCACGAAAATGATATATTCATTATTCATATCATCTAATAGCTTTTTTTTAGAAAATAACATATAAAAAGTTAGAATTTTTGTAAAAGGTTTTATCAATTTGTGACATTACTTTTTTAATAGTCGACATTCTTAGTATTAAAATTATTTTATACATTTTTCATTTAGTTGGCAAAAAATCATGATGTTGTTTTTCAATGTTTTTTTAGATTAATTTATTTTGTAAAATGGTATATTCGATCGAACATTTCTAATGTGAACACCGTTATCTTTTAAGTCAAATTGGTGAAGATATTTAACACTAAAGTATTTGGAGGTTATTGATCTTCTTTTCTTTTCTGTTTTGTCACATCATCTACTTATTATTATTTTTTCAAACAAAATATTTTTAACTTAATACTTTATGATTATTGATAATTTTCAAAAAGAAATTAATTAATTAATTAAATTATCTTTATTAAGTTACGCAAATGGTCCCTGACTTCCTATGGTTTGGTGTAATTTGCATGTTTGGTTGCTAACAAATTTTTTTAATTTGACAAGTCCCAATTATTTTGTTTTGTTATGTAGTTGGTCCCTACTTATCTTAGAAATACTATTTTGCCTTCGTGATATTTTTAAATTTTCAATTATTAATTAATTAAGAAAATTGATAATTAGATGTGTGGATCTCACCTCTCACAATATCCCTCTTCTTCCTGTTTTTCCTCCGACGAACCACCACCATGTCTCCATCTTCTCCAGCAAGATCGTCACACTTCCCTCCATCTTACCATAAATCCATCAATCTTCATTTTACTAACAAATCATGAAAAATAATACAAAAATCAATAAAAGCAACATAAAACTTTTATCACAAGAAACAATACAGATGCAATAACATACAAAAAAACTCAACGCACATCATAATATCATTTAAAGCTTATCTGGAAATTAGAAGAAAGAATCTTGACTAGGAATCTATTTTATAGTCATAGTTCGGATGAAAAAAAATTAATTCCATAGAATCCTATACTCAAAAACCTTTAAACCAATTAAAATCCCAAACAAAAAAATGTAATTCCCTAAATTCATTTTTGTTCTATAATCCATCTTTTACAAATCCGTAGACAAATTCACCAAAAATACGAGATTTCACTTTTTTTTCAAATCGATAGACAAATTTACCAAAAATACAAGAGAGTTGAGAAGGGGAAGAACAAGAGGAGGTCCATGGATACTTGAATACTATGTAAAAAATTAAGACTTGACAATGTACAAAACATGCTTCTGTTGATCCAATTCGCAAATGCAATGATTATCATCTATAAAAAAATGAAGACACATAATGATACTTGAAGGTCTACCCAAATAAAAACCCAATGAAATCGATGGACGGATCTGAAAAAAAAAAAAAAAAAAAAAAAAAAAAAAAAAAACTGAAAGCCCCTATGAGAAAATCTCAAAAAACGTGAAGATGGGAACTTACGGTGTAACACCCAGAATCTTGAGGATTAATTGTTGGGAATAAATCCCCTTCTGGATACGGCGTGTTCGAGGAACCACCACGACGTGTCTAGATTTAAAGAAGTGCAACTTTCATTAAGGCCAACACGGCGTGTTGGCTGCTGGTGGAGAAAACCCTAATTTCTAGGGTGTGGCACCCTATATAAAGGCCTTAAGCTCTCATGGCTGGCCTCCATTGCCACTAAAACCCTAAAATTGATCTTTAAGTCTCTTGGTGGTGTTCTTAAGCTGGTAAGAAGTTCTTGGTGCTCATTTTTGGTCTTTGTGAAGGAAGAGGAAATCTTGAAGTTGTCTTGCTTGGTGGAAAGGTTTTGGATCCAAAATCATATTCTTTTATGCAAGTTTTCTAAGGTATCAAGTTTGAACCTTGACTTATAGATGTTTAGATCTCTTTATATTGTGCTTTGCTGTGTTTTTGGTTCCTTTTTGGGTTGATGAGAAAGTGAAGTCGTTTAAGGGCTTGTTATTCCAGATCTGAGTTTGTATTGGACTCCTTGAGCATAAAGGTGCAAGATTTATGAGATAATTGGTTACATGCATGCATTAAGTCACTTATTAAGTCATTTTTAAACTTAAGAGCTT